AAAAAAAAAAAAAAGGAGAAGCTGCATGAATTAAAGATCCAGAGCCCAGAGCCCTGATTGTTTCTTTCTCTTCTTACAGCTCTGCCTTCTCCCTGGGTTCCCGCCCCTGCTAATGAATGGAACAGCGTGGATCAGGAAGTAACCACCACACGACTACCTATTGTGTCTCAGGTACATTGTAAATCTTCTCTCTGCCTTCCTAGGGTATTCAGTCCCAAGGATTTCCTGTGCCTTCACTGTCCTCAAACTTTTATACTCCCTCCAAGAGACTGTTCCCCCCTGACTCCTTTTGCAGGGAAGACTGGACCCAGCCGTCTGACTAATGAGACTCCTTGCTGAATCATCCCTCTTATGATTCTTTATAATATCTTCTTCATTTGGCACATCATACACACTTGGCTCCCTGATTTTAATTCTTCTTTGGGGCCCTTCTGTGTTTTCTCCATGATCATTCATCCTTTGAAGACCCATGTGGTTATCTTGGTAGTCATTGCTGTTAGTGTTGTTACAGGGACCAGTGAAAGATGTCCACATGGCGAGAGGTTTTTCCTACAAAAAGAGCGTACATCAGATTCCCGCTCACAGAGACCTGTACCGGGATATTAGGAAAGAGAGTGTTGGGAACATGGTCTCCCTGGGTAAGGATTCTTTCCCTTTTCACATAAAAGATTTGGGGATTTTTGATATCTTTATTTCTACTGATGATACAATAGTTGTAAGTGTCACCACCTAAAGGACCTCATGGGTTGTCTAGTCGTTTCTGTGGCCAGCTCACCAGACCTAGTAATCACTTGTCCATGCTCTCTTCCTCACTCCTTCCTCTCTTCCAGTTTAAAATATATACGTGTTCTTCTCACTTAGGGATGAAAACATTGGTGAGGTGTTATATACGACTGTTATGTTCATACCACTTAAATATAAGCTTACACATATGTACCTACTAGACTAAAAGCTCCATGAAGTCACAAGGTCTTTGTATGATTTGTTCTTATTTAACTGCAGTAACCCAACACTTTGCACACAGCTGGACCCATGGGTGGGTGGCCAGCAAATAATTGTTGGATGGATGGAAATCCTACAGATGGAAGGAAGAAAGTAATTTCAATACAATAACCTTGGTAGTGTGTTGTGAATGATTTAAATAGCACAGATTCACAGGCACACATAACCACTGATGTATCACTTTACAAGCAAACTTCTGAAAGATTTGTCACCTGCATTAGTAGTGGGCGTAAGTTCGTTCATACGTAAGCTAAAAGTCAAAGACTACTTTTTAATAAAATTACAGGCCTAAAATGTGTACAAACTCACACTAGAGAGGCTGTAAACATGTGGTAGTAGGGTAGCCACTAGACACACAGGGCAATTTAAATTTATACAATTAAATAAAGTTAAAAATTCAGTTCTGGGCGCCTGGGTGGCTCAGTTGTTAAGCGTCTGCCCTCGGCTCAGGTCATGATCCCAGGGTCCTGGGATTGAGCCCCGCATCGGGCTCCCTGCTCAGCGGTGAGCCTGCTTCTCCCTCTCCCACTCCCCCTGCTTGTGTTCCCTCTCTCGCTGGGTCTGTCAAATAAATAAATAAAATCTTAAAAAAAAAAAAAAATTCAGTTCCTCAGTGACTGTAGCCACCATCAGGATATTTGATAGCTGTATTGGACAGCACAGTTATAGAACATTGCTGTCATCCCAGAAAGTTCTGTTGGACAACACTACATATAGATAGTAAAGTATAGAGATGATAAAACGGGCCATGCCAGACTCAGCAAATAAAGATACACCAACGATTATTTATAATTAGAAAGCAATTAAAGCAGCTGAAATCAATGACCAGTGTAGAGTGGCACCGATGACACAGTGGGAGCAAGGCGGTCACCCCAGAGCAGCGGGCATCCCCGCCGTCTGCCTAGGTTTGCACGTGCAGGCCCTTCCTGGTGCGACCTCAGCTCCCACGGCATCTGGACCCAGGAGCGTGCTGCGTGAGAGTCCTGAGTCAGGTGTGCCCCTGGTGGGATGGGATCATCCCTGGAGAATTCAGATTTAGCCCAGCACCTTCACACGTGCAGTCAACCCTTGAACAAGACAGTTTGAACTGCGTAGGTCCACTTCTACATGGATTTTTTTTTCAGTAAATACGTACAGAAATGTGAATATATTTTCTCTTCCTTATGATTTTCTTAATTTTCTTTTCTCTAACTTATTTTATTATGGGCATACAGTATGTGATATATATAACACACGAAATACATGTTAATCGACCATGTTGTTGATAAGGCTTCCGGTCAACAGTAGGCTATTAGTAGTTAAGTTTTGGGGGAGTCAGAAGTTATACACGGATCTTCAGCTGTGCAGGGTTGGTTCCCTTATGCCCTACTTTGTTCAAGGGTCGACTGTGATGACATGTAGAAAGACCCAGGTCCAGAGACACCTGCCCCAGTCCTTTATCATAGGTTGTAAACTGATGGCTTATGGGCTGAATCTAGCCTATACACATATTTTGGCCTTGCACAGCATTTTAATTTACTATTAGTTTGTAAATCTGGATATCCTGTATCTCTTGAAAAATCAAACGTCAGGCACCACGGGCCCACCTCCTCACATAGCAGTGATTGGCCAGAGCTGAACCCAGGAGCTCATGCTGAACTGCTGCGTTTCTCACTCATTTGCACTGCCTGCCTGGTCCTTATAGATATTCGAGCTTTCATTAACCCTACACTTTCCTCGCTCATGTAAAAATAAAGAACAAATCTCCATCCCCAGGGCTCTTTCAGAAAGGATTTGATGTGATGCTCCTTCTCTTGACAATTCTGTGAAGTTTCTGTGTGTGTGTTATCTAGAGAAGAAAACCAAATTTTATTACATACCTGTTGAGCATTGGATACTTTACAGACGATCATTTATTTAATATTCCCGGCATTTCTGTGAATAGAGGCCAGCATTCCTTAGGCAACCAAAGCTCAGAGATTAAGAAACTTCCCCCTGGTCCAAAAGTAAAGCAGGGTTTAGTGGGGTCAGGGTTCATATGTAAGACATGTTGATCTCCACAGCGCTGTGAGGCAACAGACTATCCATGTGCTTCCCTGTCCTTCGTCTCTTTCCTATTAACCTTGCCACATGTATCCCCAAATTCTTGACGTATCTCTCCTAGCCCCAGTGTGCACACGCACATGTGTTGGGGTGGGGGTGGGAGTATGTGGGGAGCAAATACAAGCACACTTGGTTCTATAAGTAACAAATACTGGTTACAGCAGGTGCTGAACCCAATACAATGTTAGACGCTGAGAGGGAATCAAAGGTAATAGAATGTATCTTACCCTTAAAGGTCTTCCCTTAAGAACTAGCCAGAGAAAGAAGTGGTATATACCTGAGAACTAACATGATAACGTAAGTTTAGTAGATGATGGTGCCAAAGAAGAGAGGTGTAAGGATAACTGTAATGATACCATAGGTAGTAAGAATGCCTGTGCTGTGCTCTGTCATGGTTGAGGAAGGCTCTAGAAGAGAGAGGTATTGGACAAGACCTTTCAAGGATAGGTGTAAACGAGTGTCCAGGAGGGCAGCAGATGAGGGCACGCAGCTCTGACCTCTGGTTTCGCATGAAATGTGTTTCTCTTCCGTAGGAAGTACCGTGTCTGTGTCTAACAAGATTGCCCGGTTGGAGCAAAGAAAGGAGCCATGGACCTTAGGTCTACACTCTTCTAACAAAAGGAATATTATTCTACGAAGCCACCACGTCAAGGAGAAGCCAGTTCGTGCTGCTCAGATCCCGGTGCGCAGTGTGGGGAGAATGTGGGGTGAGCAGCAGCACTGGGGTTTAGAAGATGAGAAGATAGCAGGCGTGCATTGGAGCTATGAGGAAACGAAGACTTTCCTCGCCATTCTCAAGGAGTCTCGCTTTTATGAGACGCTGCAGGCTTGTCCCCGAAACAGCCAGGTATACGGGGCTGTGGCCGAGTGGCTGCGTGAGTGTGGCTTCCTCCGAACGCCAGAACAGTGTCGGACCAAGTTCAAAAGCCTCCAGAAGAGCTATCGGAAGGTGAGAAATGGCCACGTGCTGGAACCCTGTGCCTTCTTTGAGGACATGGACGCTCTATTGAACCCTGCAGCCCATGCTTCATCTGCTGATAAGCCAAAGGAGATTCTCTCTCTCCCCAGACTAAAGAGAGTTGATATCAGTGCTAAAGAACAGATCAGTTTGGTGGAGGAGGAAGACGCCGCAGAAGAATCTGATGGTGATGAAATGGGCATTGAATTTATCCGGAAGTCTGAGATTCGTGGTGCCCCTGTCTTGTTTCAGAACCTGAGTGGTAAGAATTGTGCTCTTTGCTTCGGGTATGAAAATGGATGATATGGGCTTGTGGTAAAAGGACTAAGTAGACCAGAGGCCGCCAAACCTGGGGAGTGCTGTCGTGAGCGCCTTGCCACTAACCACTGAACATACTCTCGGGTGTTTGCTGCTGCCCTGGTGCAGTCTGAGTAATGGCCGTGAAGGTTCTTTCTCAGGCTAGAGCACAGCATGGATTTGAATATTTGCAGCCTGTGGAAGGAAGGTAAATAGAGTCAAAGGACTCTGGAGAGCCCACATCTGAGGATTGGTATAAAGCAGCCCGTTGTGTCGGATTGTAATAAGGCAAAGATACATTGTTATACTGTCTAGGATAACCAGTAAAAGAACATATAACGAAAGTAAAAAATTGTAGGGGCACCTGGGTGGCTCAGATGGTGGCTCAGATGGTTAAGCGTCCGCCTTTGGCTCAGGTCACGATCTCCAGGTCCTGGGATGGTGTCCCACATTGGACTCCCAGCTCAGTGGGGAGCCTGCTTCTCCCTCTGTCTCTCCCCCTGCTTGTACTCTCTGTCTCTCTCTTTCTCTCTTAAATAAATCTTTAAAAAAAAAATTGTAGAAGACAAGAAAGGAGAGAAAAAGGAACACAAAGTAGATGAGTCCAATGGAAAAAAAAAGTAAGATGGTAGACATACATCCAAATATGTCATTAGTTACAAACTTAAAAGACTATCAGTCATTTAAAAAAACAATGAAATATTGCTTACAAGAGATGCATATTTAAGTATATGACACAGAGACTTTGAAATTAAAAGACAGAAAAAGATACACTGCATACGATATAAACGAAAGCTTGTGTTGAAATTAGGGATGCGCAGAACTAACCTGGCAGTTAACAACTGGGTGACAGTAGACCCATCCCTTAAATACTTTGAGCTTCAGTTTTTTCTTTTTTTTTTTTTTAAAGATTTTATTTATTTATTTGACAGAGAGAGACACAGCGAGAGAGGGAACACAAGCAGGGGGA